TGAAAAGGACATTCTTGATTGTCACCTATAAGATATTAAGCGATGATTTGCATAAACTTTGATAAAAATAGAATGAATCTTATCAACGATAGCATAAGCATATTAAGATTGAATTTGGTTTTTTTCAAAATCTAATCAACAAAATTCTAAAGTAGTACGACAAAAATAACTTCAATTGTCTTTCATTATTCTATCTTATATATACTGTAGCATTTTTGATTGAATAAGCTCTGAATATATGAAATTTTTTATTTCAAATTAATTTTTATTAAAAGCTATGCTTTTACATTATAAAGTTCGGATATTAATACTGGGGAAAAAAATGTTTATTAATTAAGATGATCATCATTATTTTAATGATGTGGTTTTTGTTCGAGTTCACCTTGTTGATGTACTGATGGATCATGAACTGCGTGTTCTTTATTTTTACCATGAATTTCATTTTGATTAAATTCTTCATTATGATTTGGTCGTCTTTCTCGATGTTTTTGTTCTCGACGTTGAGCAAAATGTTTTCGATGGTCTCTACAACCAGGTAAACGTTGACCATCTTTATAACATGGTGAAATATGTTCTCCATGTTTTTTGTCCTTGCCATCTTTGTGTTTATTCAATTTCCACTGTTTTCGATTTAAATCTCTTGATGGTGATGATTCATTAGAATTATGATGATGTCGATGAAATCCTTTCTTCTTATCATGTACACCAGTACGATTATGGTGTCCATGTGGACCGCGATTTCGTCGATGTATATCATTCTTATCATGATCAACATCATGATGTTGTTGATCATTTTGATTCAATGGCTTCTTTCCATCTGGACCACGATTTTGTCGATCTATACCATATTCAGTATCATCATTATTTTCTTTTGCATGTATATTGAAGTGTTCATCGCCATCTTTTCCTTTGAAAGTTCCTGGTTGTTGTTGTTTTTTTTTATTATTGAATTGAGCATCAGTTCCTAGTAAAAAATAAAAAATAAGAATATGATAGTACTGGATTTTAAAATTAAGTTACGATCAGAGAAGAAAGTCAGAAACCAAGTTTTACATAGATTTCTTACCTGTTGATAGTATTGATATCCATATAAATAATGTAAGTAAGACCAACAATGGTAACCCGCAAAATTTCATTGCAACCATATTTGTTTTTATTGTAAGTGTAGAGAACATATGATTTTCAGCTGTATTAATATACTAGAAGGTATTGCATGAAAAACCGTATCATATTTTCTTTTCTCTTATCCTATAATTGAAAATCCCATGAACGAAATATAATAAGATAAGTAAAAGTTATTAAGAGTAATATTTCATATGTACTTTTATCAGATAACTGGTATGAATCATAATTGCTAAATGCTTATAATAATTAAAATGATTGTGTTTTCGAACAAAAATACATTGATATTTAAAAAGAAGTATAAACTGAATCAAGATACTGTTGTCGATTGTTTGAAGAATAGGAACGATCATATGGACATTGTACATACTTTTAAAATTTTCGAGTATCAACTTCACGTTGTATATAAATAATTGCTATTATTATTTTTGAAATTTCTACAGATATCATTTAGAGTTTTATTAACCTAACAGTAAACAATGATACTTTTTCGTACCTATATAATAAAGAAAAACTATCGATTATTTTTTATCTTGTGGATATCCACGCTATGTAGGTGTACGAGTAATTGCAGCATTTTATGTTTTTTATTAAAGTACCGAGTATTTTTCACAGCATGTCTTACAATCTTCTCTATATTTGATGAAAAATGAGAAGTGTATTTTTACTTTATTATATTCTTATCTTAAATCGAAATCGATGAATGTTCGATATGCTACATCAAAAATATTTCTAATTAACTTTTATATAATATAATGAAGATTTAAAAGATACATTCTCGAATCTTGTTGTGCTTTCGTTTATTATTCCTCGCAGAAATAAATGCATTACTATGTAAAAGAATATTAAACTTTATCAAAACAGTTAATATACGAATCAAAAATAAAGGTGATGTAATGTATTCATTCTAAATAGCCAATCAACAATATAATTATGAAATAAATAACAGCGTCATGAATGACTAATACTATTGATCAATACCAAACTTAAAAATAACTAGGTAGATATACAAAAAATAATAATGACGTTGTAAAAATATTTCATATACGTGTAAATTATTCAATACAGTATATGTAATAAATCATTATGATACTTCAATACGTACTTGTTTGTGCAGCTTCAAGGAATCATTATAAAAAATAAGATTTTTTACTGATAGAACCAGCTTTACATTATAAAATTTGTAAAAAACTATAATCTTATGGAATAGCAAATTATGTGACAAATATATTTATCAAGATAATTTATAACGAAACTACTTAGCAACTCTTATCGCTAATGACAGTGATAAATATTGATGTCTGAAGAGGATTGATCACGTCTGTACGTTTAATTTACCTTGGCGAAGCCAAAGTTTTTTTTTCAAATGCTTTGTATAGTTCTCTTACAATTCGAAGTACACGTGCGTTTTTTTCTGTTCTTTTCGCGTAACAAAACGTTGGCGTTGTGAAGCATTTTACGTTTTTTTTTTTCTTTTCTTTCTACGTATAAAATTTACGACACATTGTATGTAACTAACCATTTTTTGTGCATCTATTAATCATGTCGAACGCTACAATGAAAATAGTATCTAACGATGGACAAGAGTTTGAAATTGATTATGATATAATAAAACAATCGAAAATGCTGAAGTCATTTTATGAGGGTGAGTACTATTCGAATAATTTTTTTCCTTCTATTAATTATTTGACTTATTTTATACTGGCCATATAGCAGATGAAATAGACGAACCAGTTACATTGTCTTTCGTTGACACTTCAATTCTGAAATCGGTCAGTTAATTCTTATTTTAAATCATATAATAGATTTATTTATTTGTAGATCATCGAATTTTGTAATCATCATAAAAATGATCCCGAAGCAGAATTTAGTGATGATGACGACGATGATGATAATGACGATAAAATTAAAAAAGATGTTAATGAGTTAAGACAGTAAGTTTTCTTCTAAAAGAAATTATTAATTAAGATTATAAATATTATAATCATGACATCGATAGTAAACTAACCATTACTCTTATATAGTCATATTTCTCGAACACTAATTTGATAAATATGTTGAGAGATTAATTCTGAATTTGAATATTTATCGAAGAATCTTTGATAGGAGATCTCGAAATGTTAAAATTAGAGGATAATACTAAAAATTTTTTTTTAATTGATACATATTGATATAAACTTTATTCTTATATTCAGAAAGACAACAATCAGTGAATGGGATAAGACATTTATTCAACAATTTTCAGTTCACGATGGCACATTATTCGATATTATCACTGTATGTTTTTTCATTCTTTTTTCCTGTAACAATAATAATAAAATTTGTCTTTTCTTTTTTTTTGTATTATTATTTAGGCAGCTAATATTCTTGACATTCCAATTCTCATTCATACTCTTTGTAAATCAATTATATACCTTATTAAGGGTAAATCATCACAAGAAATACGAGATATATTTAAACTTAGTGAACTACTTGATCAAACACCAGATAATCATTCTCCTTCATCACCAATTGATGTCAAAAACAAATAAACGAAACATTTATCATTCGATAAAATAAAATAAAAAAACAAGATTTTCTTTTCCTTTTTTCTATTTGTATATTCTCTATTCACGCTTAACTTTAACATCGATATTTTTGTAAAGTATTAAACGTTGTTTTTTGTATTAATAAAATATTGATTAACTAATGATAGTAATTATATTTTAAATAAAATCGTTTAATACATAGGTATTAGTATAATGATAATCCATGAGGTCTTGTCTTTTAATAAAAATTCATTTTGTTGAATAGGATAGCTTTGAAGTTGGTCAACACATCACTTTAGCAGCACGACAGTTCGCCGACATTAAAGTTCGCTGACTCAGCACTTCGCCGACACGATGGTTCGTCTACAGAGAACTTTGTCGACAAACCAATTCACATCCTCTAGATAGTTTTTTATTTAATAAGAAAAGAAAACTTAATCAAATCATCAGAATTGCTTATACGTGATTACACTAAAATAAATTGTTAATGATTTATTTATTTCTATTGAGGTTTTGTATAATATCATAACTACTTGTTAGATGTCATGAAAATTGTTGTTTAACAATAATACAATTTGTGGAATTGTTTCTTCCTCAAACTCGAAGAAAACTATACCGATAAAGTTAAGTGCTATAAAGAGTGACTTGAAACTAAATATCATTGTCTCACATCTCGTCAGTATATACAACAATATTTGAAGAATTTACTATCTAATAGACGCTCAATCTATTACGTTATCATAGGTTGAGAAGATATTTAATGTTGGGTAAAGATGTCTGACAACTAACCAGCCTATCACAATGAACTTTGACAATAATGTATTATGCTATTTAAAACATTCAGTATATGATTTATTTCTTATTATATCATTATTTGATGAATTTTAGGATGAAAGTTTGTATGTTGTTTTATCTCTGGTTTGATAATGCCTAATTTCAACAAAACTAATATTACTTATTGAGAAGATATAAAGATAAGTGTCTTTGAAAAAAAAAATTTTATTATACGATTTCAAAAAAAACATCAATGAATACAATAGACTTTATTCTATTTAGTAATCATGTTCATGACACTGAAATTTATGAATATTTATTTTTGTTCTTTAATCGAACATAATTATATCGATAAACAAGTTATTTTTCATTTTATTACACTTGAGAAATAAAATACTAAATGATACGATCATGATCGAAGTACGTCAATATCTATATGACTATTCTGTCACAGTTGTTTGTATATCTCTTGTACATTATGCAGTAATATATCGTTAAAAGACGCAAATATTTTGAATTTCACTTTTTTTCAACATAAATAAAAGATAAAGAAAGAATGTGTTTTGCATCGATGATTACCTTCGATATAATGATAATAAAAAATATTATTATATAGATGCATCCTTATCGACAACGATACTGTCAATCAATCAATGATGGAACCTTGATTATTGGGACAGAAAATAAAAGCCCGTCTATTCTTTACGATTGTTTCTATATTTCCAATCGATCGAATAATCCTATCTTTCATTTTTTCATTATATCGAAATCAATCGTTCGCAGCTCGTCATTACTCTTGCTGAAGGGATTCATTTATGTTATTATTGTGGTGATACAACACGAAAACGTTAAATTTCAACGATCAATCTACTCGATACAATGGTGAATCTAATTTCATTTCAGTATTTAATTCAATTACTATTGTTGATTATGAGTTGCTCGTCGACACAGATGTTTGAAACATCTAACGATCATTCGATGGAACGTCAACATACTCTGCGAGAGTTTTATAACTTATTTGTAGACAAACGCCAGCAATCAGATATATTTCGCTTTGTTATGGAAACAGCAAACTTGCCAAATTATGATCCAAACATGCCTGACGGTCAAGGATACAGTGATTTATTGTTAACCAATAATTATGGTGAATCCGGTATGAGCCCTGTATTTCGCGCATATTTTTCTCTATTACTCAAGAATATGTCGTCAAAGAATTACTTGGATAGAAATATTTTGGATAAATATCGTACTTGTGAATTGTGTAATACAGGCGTTTGCTATCGGACATCTAGTTGCTCGAATTATTGCTGCATTTTAGCCGGTCCCAGTCCACTTTCAGCTGGTTGTCCCGGCAATCAACCTAATGCAACTCCAAAAGGTTGTTGTAAAGGTTGTTGGTTGTACTAGATTAGGTAATGTACGATAATAGAACATATCTCATATTTAATGACTTTTCTAAAATGAAAATTATTCTTTTAGTTCTCTTGTAGATTCTATTTTATGAAACTAATGTGTTTTTATTTTTTATTTAGGCAATTCAATACATATAATATCCATTTATATTTACTCATCTTCATTCGTCATTAAGATTTTTTTTCATTTTCTTTTTTTGTGTCATTCATTTACTCTCAAATAAATTTATAAAACAAAAATTAATCAATTCATTTTTGATATGATAGACATAGATTTATTGGTAGTAGCTAAAAGTAGTCTTGTAACCGTTTTAATTTAAGTTCAATCTTATTAAAGTTAATTTAGAAGAAATATTGTAATAGTAAAGACTGTCTTTTCGTAAATTTCATCTTTAATAACATTCTTATGACTATTATATTTTTGAACGATAATTTATCAGTTCAAATAAGAACAAAAACGACAAAAAAAGAATAGCTGCTTGATAATAATCATTAACAGACGGGAAGTATGGTTGAGGTGCTATTTACATCTTTATTCACAATAAAAATAAATTCAATTTTTATAATTCTATAGAGAAAATATATTCTATGTTTAATATCATATTTATAAAAGTATTAGTTGATGAAAACATAAAGCAAATATGAATGAATACTAGTATAATCTGATGTTACAAGCTAGAGTTGCACGAGAAACGTTCCTATTGAAACGTTTATTATTACTATACGAAATGAATCTTCAGCGTGTTGGTGTTTATAAGGATACTGGGCTGATCATTCACCCCATACCCACACTGCGCCTATCAAACATCAGTTTACGATCACGAACTGCATGAAAAGACAATATCTTTTATTGTTTTCAACAATTATAGCACATGTAACCAATAATTGTTTCTGTCTGACTTAGCAAGTTAAGTCAGTTTTGAAAATTACTGTATTTCATCTAAATAATAAATAGAACATTCAGCTAAATTCCAACAAAAAAAAATGAAATTACAATACAACATTAAATAAATTATTAACATTTCTATCTGATTTCAATCGTATGTACTGTTGTTGTTGCAATTATGTTCGATTGCCGCTTTAGTTTTTTCGTGATATATGTCTTCACCGGATCAGTGAACTGAAATAATGTAATCATAATAAACACCAATGAAATATAAACAAATGTAAAAGCAATACGAAAATGATATTTAGGTGGTTGAGTGAAAAATCCAATAAAGATGAAGATTGTATAAGGTATACCGAGTGTTAATAATATCGATACAAGTACAACTATTCGATGAACCATTTTTAGTTCTCGTTCTGCACGAGATACAGTATTAACTGGTGTTACACGTTTATTTATCTCTTTTACATAGAGAATTAGTTTAAAATAAATAGACATAATACCATTCATTGGTATGAAATAAACATAAATGATATTATAAATTATTACAAAAGATAAATGAAACGGTGTTTCACATATCTGATTGTCAGCATTGTATTGAATTTCACCAGTGACAACATTCGGAATAGCTAATATAAAAGCAAACACCCATGTCAATCCGATAAGAAAACCCTGAAACTGTTTTGATTGCCACAAGAGTCGTGTGGGATAAATAACTGTTATATACCGATAGATGGCTTGTAATAAATAGGAATGTAATTGTGCAGCTATTGTAACATGACTGAAGTAACCTCGAAAGATACAAAGTGAATCTTGATATGAGATTTGTTCAAGATCATTTTTGAGTGACCATATAGTCATGCCTAATGAAGCACTTGTAAAAAGAAGTGTAGCTAAACATGAGTTTGCAACAAGCATCACGGGAACTGTATGACATGTTTTATCAATTATAATAATAAATAAAAATAATACACCCAGTATGATCACCAGGATAAGGAATATAATATTGATAATATCGAGAGAAATAAACCATGATTCAATAGTTATAGTAGATGAGTTCAAAATAGATGTTTGTATTGTTGTAAAATAAGTTGAATTCATTTTTGAGAAAGTTGACAACTGAAAAAAAATAAATGTAATGAAGTGCTGTCAAAGTTTTATCTGTTGAGTAGTCTATATATAGGATTTTTAATAATGATTACTTCGTCTCCAGACATTCTTATTATCTTTTTTTCTCCTTTCCATTTTATAGAACAAAGCGCTACATCATAACTTATGATAAATTTAAAAAAATGTTTTTTTCCATACTATAAATTAATTATCATTGATACAATAAGTTATCTATCGATTTCTGCAAAATATTTATAAATATTCACATTCTATATTATAAAAACAGTTAATATACTCATAGAAAATATATCTCTATATCTCATCCCAACGCTAATGATATTCAAATTGATCTATCCTAGTATCCATACGGTAAATATTTGTAAATATTGAAAGAAATCGAGTTTTATTTTTAATATACTTAACATACTAGAAGAATATGTCGCAAGCAAAATATTTGAAGTCTGTCTATTTACATCTCATACGTGATATGTTGAAAGAATATAAAGCCTTTTTAGACACCCATGTAATCTGTTTTTTCTTTTCAATGCACGTCAGAGAACGGAGAAATGCATTACATAATTAGAAAAAACTATTTTTGCATTGAAAAAAAATCCTTCCGTTCATTATGAACTGATGAGGTTTTTGAATGGCTAAATATATCATATTCTTGTCGATGTTCATCAGTTAGAATAAACACATAATTATGAAAACTACTGAGAGATATTCATGTACTATACATAGAATTGCTTCGTAATTAGCCTTAAACTATTCATATTTATATTTATGTTGTGTTTAGTAAAAGTAGTGAGTATAACACTTTAATGTGTTAATCTTGAAAGTATGGATGCGAGGATGTGGGTGTTCTTTTCATATATCATCAAAAACCATACTCTTCCTTACTTGAAATCGAACAGGCCAGTTTTCACCGCTCTTTTCACCTATCTTCTTTTAATTTTTAAAAATTTTGTATGACATTAAAACTTGCTCTTTTGCTTGTTTTTATGATTGCAATGGTTGGATACGTTTGTGAATGAAGAAATGGCTAAGTCACAGTCACATCCATATTCTGAAATTCTTCTTTCAGAACTCTGATAAACTTTTGATATATTTTGAATTAGAATCGATATGCAGAGTATATAAGGATTCTAAATTTAGCTATTGATGAATGAATTATGTGCCTATTTGAAACGATCCTTCTAAATAGCTTAGATTCATTCTATCTGAAATTACTCTTGAATCACTTGCCACAATCCTATAAGAAATCCAAAGATACTATATTGAGAAAAATTATTATTGTAAAATTGAAAAAACAATATCCTTATAATCATTCATATTTCTTAACAATAGCAGTCTATAATTAACAGCAGCCACATTGATTTGAATTGAATTCAGTATCTAATCCATATGAAGGCAGTTTTCTATCATGAGGTGCCTCAATGACCACAACTCATCTTAAAATTTGTTTTGCAGGATCTTTGATCCAAAATTCATCCAACGCATCAGTAGTATGATTAAAATAGCATGTCTCGTATTTTTGCATGCCATTTACTATTTTTCAACAAATTGCTGAAGATCACTGTCGAAATATCTATTATTCGGATCTAGGCGAATTGATCGTAGATCTACTTAAAAAACATTGCCTATGGATATTTTCGCAACGAACCAAGGACCAGTTTGATCACTTTTACTTTTTAATAATATCTTGAGATATATTTACATCAGGTTTGTATGCCCGCCACACTCGACAATGGTATGAATCTAGTAAAATTGTTAAACACGAAAATATTAATGAAAATGCTGTAATGGTTAGCATTCCTTGTATGATGCTTCTGTTCGAGGACGTTCCTCCTTGATTGGCCATCATGCCGTATATAATAACACCAGTTGTTCGAAGCAGGATACAGGTTATATGGAAGCCAATTCGAATTATAAATCTCCATTTAGGTCGAGATGTATAGTATGAACAGTTACCGTTTAAATTTATAAATTTGAGAAAAGGACGTCGTGTCTTCTTGTTGATGAGACAAATGAAGTTAGAAAGAAACAAAATAATTCCAGTGAAAATAGGTACGATGAATCTCGCGAAAGATATTCCATAAGCAACTATGAGCTTTATTAATACATTCGTTGGAAGAGGTATTGCCGTTGTTGTTATTGTTGCTTCTTGGCTTCCAATAAATGAGGTCCAACCTTCTGATATTTGAACGGCTAGCACAATAGCAACAAGGAGCTCAGTGACTTTGATTAAAGCGTAAAAGTACGGTAATGCACGATAAAAACAGGTTCCAAACATAACAAAAAGCTAAATCTTATTAACTGCGAGTGGGTGTAGGTAAGAGTAAAGAAATGATACACATACCCACACCCAGACCCAGAGTTCTCGTATTATATTTGTATCGGGCAAAAGTGAGAAAAGGGTTGTTTAGTCGAAGATGATATTGATCTAAATCAAGTTTCTGAACATATTTCGCTAGAGATATCATCTTCTATTTCCTGTTTTGTAACTTTAATTTCCCGTGCAGTTGTCACGACTGAATATTTTTTCATGGCAATGATAACTATAATCTTTATTCTTTATTATAAATAAAAATAAAAATAAAGTAACAATCCTAATCACGAACTTTATGAGACGACAGTATCTGTTATTATTTTAGATTGTTATAGCAGCTGTAACTGACAGCTTTTTTTATCTGACATAGCAAGTCAGATCAATTTCCGGAATTAATGTATTTTATCTAAATCATGAGCATAATATTTTGCTGATTTTCAGCATAAAGAAGAAAATTACAATACAACATTAAATAAGTTTTTCACATTTTTATCTAACTTCAATCATTTGTACTGTTGTTGCTCCAATTATGTTCGATTGCCGCTTTAGTTTTTTCATGATATATGTCTTCACTGGATCGGTGAATTGAAATAATGTAATCATAACAAACACCAATGAAATATAAACAAATGTAAAAGCAATACGAAAATGATATTTAGGTGGTTGAGTGAAAAATCCAATAAAGATGAAGGTTGTATAAGGTACACCCAGTATTAATAGTATCAACACAAGTATAACTATTCGATGAACCATTTTTAGTTCTCGTTGTGCTCGAGATACTGTATTAACTGGTGTTACACGTTTATTTATTTATTTTACATAGAGAATTAGTTTAAAATAAATAGACATAATACCATTCATTGGTATGAAATAAACATAAATGATATTATAAATTATTACAAAAGATAAATGAAAAGGTGTTTCACATAGCTGATTGTCAGCATTGTATTGAATTTCACTAGTAACAACATGTGGAAGCATAAATATAAAGGCACACATCCATGATAAACCAATGAGAAAACTTTGAACTTGTTTTCTTTGCCAGAAAAGACGCATCGGATAAACAACTGTTATATACCGGTAGATTGCTTGTAATAAATAGGAATGTAATTGTGCAGCTATTGTAACATGAGCGAAGTAGCCTCGAAAGATACAAAGTGAATCTTGATATGAGATTTGTTCAAGATCATTTTTGAGTGACCATATAGTCATGCCTAATGAAGCACTTGTAAAAAGAAGTGTAGCTAAACATGAGTTTGCAACAAGCATCACGGGAACTGTATGACATGTTTTATCAATTATAATAATAAATAAAAATAATACACCCAGTATGATCACCAGGATAAGGAATATAATATTGATAATATCGAGAGGAATAAACCACGGTTCAGTATTTATAGTAGATAAGTTCAAAATAGATGTTTGTATTGATGTAAAATAAGTTGAATTCATTTTTGAGAAAGTTAGCAGCTAAGAAAAATATATGTAATGAGGTGTTGTCAAAAGTTTATCTGTTGAGTAGTTTATATATAGAATTTTTAATACTCATTACGTCGTCTCCAGAAATTCTTATTATCTTTTTTCTATTTTTTATTTCATAGAACAAAGTATTACCGCATAATCTATGAGAAATTTAAAAAAAATGTTTTTTTCCATACTATAAATTAATTATCATTGATATAATAAGTCATCTCTCGATTACTATAGAATATTTATCCACATTCTATTTTTTTGAAAACAGCTCATATATTTACCGAAAATATATTTTTATCTTTTATTCCAACGCTAATGATATTCTCCACTACTTTTCAATTCTGATTTATATCTAACAGAAAAAGGATGGAAAGCATTTTTTTAGGCATCCATGTAATCTTTTCTTTCTTTTCAATGCACGTCAGAGAACGAAGAAATGCATTACATAATTAGAAAAACTATTTTCTCAGTGAAAAAAAATCCTTCCGTTCATTATGAACTGATGAGGTTTTTGAATGGCTAAATATATAATATTCTTGTCGATGTTCATCAGTGACAATACACACATAATTATGAAAACTAGCGAGGGTGTGGGTATGGATGTGGGTGTTCCTCTCATACCCTACCATACGTGGAACCGGACCAACCGATCTTCATCACTCTTTTTACCTGCCTTTATGATTTCAATCATTATCGAAATTATAGTTGTAAATATTGACTATCACTTACTAATCCTACAAAAAAATGATACCTCTTATAGAATTTGAATAGCTAGTGTTTTGGGGTTCAGACTTCGATAACAAAATGTCAGAAAAGTTCACATTCTGTTATAGACATTTTGTTGACAGTTGTCATCATGTGAGTATGAACATACGGAGATATAAAGACATGTTGAATAGAAAATTTGATTTTGAAACTTTACGTTTCAGCTCATTTCATCTATCTGCCTGTAGCAGCATTTTTATAGTCAATCAACATGTCCTTCAACTGTCTCAAATAAATTATATTTATTAGTTAAGTAGAAACTATATCATTATTGAAAAAGGTCAATCAAAATATAGTGAGGTATTGCTGAATATTAGTTGCTGTGAATTCCTAATCAAAAGAGAGAAATCTTTATTTACTCTTAATAGTAGTACTTGAAACATGTTAGACTAAAATACGAACTGTTACTGTCAAAAACTTGAATAATTATATGAATTTGAAGGTCTATATAGCTTCGTCAGACTGAAGTAAAAAGCTGTTATTCAAATGTATTGATTATTTAATTGATGCATAAAATGCATCGATTTTAAATAGGTTAAGTCAAGAGTTTCAGTCTGACCCGATTTAAAAAAATCGAATCGGTTCCAAATCTACGGTGATTAGAAATGTGAACTTAAGAAGTAATTTCATTGTTGCTGCGTTTTCTTGAGTTTGGGGTGTGGTGTGCGTGTGAGTGTGTTATGGTTAATATACATATACCACACCCTCACCCACATCCACACTCTCACCCAGCTCAACAAAATCCTGTCTATTTTTTAGCCAACCTTCAATCAAAGAAATAAATGCTCTAAGTATTCCTAATCTTATGAATTTTTCCAAGTAGTCTTTCCACCAAAGTTGGTCGAAGGCTTGCCCAAAATCAATGAAAACTGTAGCTACAGGGCACTTGAACTCATCAATGACGATATTTGGTCAATCAAGAGCAGAACTCTAGTCTGTAACCGACAAATAGCCTCTTGTTTTGCTAACAATTTCATCTTTACATGCTTCCAATAAGATGGACCTGAATATGTTACAAACGACTCATTAAATATATTTAGCAAGGAAGTTAGGTAATTCGTGGATATGAATTGTAGCATTTAAGACGAAATACCGTGCGCATCCGTCGAATGTTTTTTCTTTATTTTTGATATTGTTTTTCTGAGTTTAGCCATAGTTGTTTTAAGTGTTGGTTCATTATAATTATCCCATTCGACCACAAGAATATCGACATAAGGATGTGATCGGTAAACAAACTACTGGTCTTTCTCCATTCTATTTTTCGTAAAAATCCAAAACACATATTCTTCCAATCCATTCTTTGACTATATCAGTTATAATCATATTTTCTCTTAGCGTTCCTTTAAAAATATTTATACAATCATAGTTTATTTGCGTCGGCGAACATTTAAAGCCGTTATTAACCATTGTTGCCGATAGGTAAATGCAACTCCATTAAATAAGTGATGTTATTTGCTTGTTTCAATCATAGATTTTCATGATTACTCACGTTTTTGTTGTAGTACGCTTGTCTCTCACATAGTTTTGATGATTTTACAAATTTTCTTTAAATTTCTTTATTTTATCTCTTGTTCGATGCTTCTTCATCCATTAATTCAATACAGATATTCATAATATTCATTAAGTTTATATTCATATCAAGTAGAAGATCCTTTATAATTGATAATATTGAATCTGCTATTTCTTTTTCTGTGTTAATGTTTGTTTGCATTAGTAAACATATCCCCTCCGCTACAATCGTTTTTTTTTGCGAATGACATTAATTTCTCGTCTTGTATACCGTATTCGGTACGAAATAAAATAGTTTACTGAAATAAACATTTAAGTTTTGAATGATATATAACATTACAAAATGCTTAAATATATCTCATTAATGGATTCGTTTCTGTTCATCTTGTCTAACAATTTCTTGTTAAATAGAGAAAGATAACATTAATTCATCGACAAAAAATGGTAAATTAATAACAGAAGTTCATACATTTGGAACAAGAAGAAACAGTAAAATACAGAATTCATCTAATTTTCTCTTACACGGATAGTATCAGCTATTTCCAGTTTTGTAACTTTGATTTCTTACGCAGGTGAAACAAGCAGTTGTCACGATCGTGATACTGAATCTGTCAAACATCAATTTCCGGTCACAACCTGCATGAGAGGACAACATCTGTTATTATTTTCAACCGTTATAGCGACTGTAACTGACAGGTTTTTTTTAATCTGACATAGCAAGTCAGATCAATTTTCAAAATTATTTTATTTCACCTAGATAACGAACAGAACATTTTACTAATTTTCAGCGCAATAAATGAAATTACAGTACAACATTAAATAAATTAGTCATATTTTTATTTGATTTTAATTATTTATACTGTTGTTGCTGCAATTATGTTTGATTGCCGCTTTATTTTTGTCATGAGATATGTCTTAACTGGATCAGTAAATTGAAATAATGTAATCATAATAAATAGTAATGCGACATATATAAATGTAAAAGAAATACGTAAATGATATTTAGGTGGTTGAGTGAAAAATCCCATAATGATGAAGATTGTATAAGGTACGCCCAGTACTAATAATATTGATACAAGTATAACTATTCGATGAACCATTTTTAGTTCGCGTTGTGCACGAGATACAGGGTTAATTGTTGTTACACGTTTATTTATCTCTTTCACATAGAGAATTAGTTTGACATAAATAAACAAAATACCATACAGCGGTATGAAATAGACATAAACTATATTATAAATGATTATAAAAGACAAACGAAAAGGTGTATCACATATCTGATTGTCAGCATTGTATTGAATTTCACCAGTAGCAATATGTGGAATAGCAAATATAAAAGCACATACCCATATCAAACCGACGAGGAAACCCTGAAACTGTTTTCTCTGCCAGAAAAGTCGTGTGGGATAAACCACTGTCATATACCGGTAGATGGCTTGTAATAAATAGGAATCAAATTGTGCGCCAACTGTAGCATGCATGAGGTAACCTCGAAAAATGCAAAGTGGATCTTGATATGAAATTTGCTCAAGATCATTTTTAAGTGCCCATATAGTATTTCCTAATAAAGCACTTGTGAAAAGAAGTTTAGCTAAACATGAGTTGGCAACAAGCATCATGGGAACTGTGTGACATGTTTTATCGATTATAACTATGAATAAAAATAGTACACCTAGTATTACGACTAAACTAAGAGATATAATATTGATAATATCGAGAGAAATAAACCATGATTCAGTATTTATAGTAGATGAGTTCAAAATAGATGTTTGTATTGATGCAAAATTAGTTGAGTTCATTTTTGAGAAAGTTGACAACTGAAAAAAAATAAATGTAATGAAATGTTCTGAAAAGTCTATCTGTTCAGTACATCATATATTAGATTTTTAATAATGATTACTTCGTCTCCAGAAATTCTTATTATCTTTTTTCTGCTTTCTATTTCATAGAACAAAATAGTACTTTATAACTTATGAGAAAATTAAAAACATTTTTTTTCCATACTATAAATTAGTTATCATTTTGTTCTGTGCGAGATAATCTCCTCCTGACTATGTCGATCTGAAAGGGACAACTTTGCTACCACCCACGATAAAATTTGCCGAAAGTTAAAAAAATAATAAAACTAAAAGCTACGCATCATAAAAATTTAATTATCATTGATATAATAAGGTATCTATCAATTTCTACAAATTACGTATCAATATCTGCATTCTATTTTATAAAAACGGTTCCTATATTGATCGAAAAGATGTCTTTATCTTGAGGATATATGTGTAAAGCTTCGTAATTAGCGCATGCTGTTTACATGACGTTTGATTCTCATGTACTTTGTACTTATATTTGTTCTTATCATATTATTTTTTTCCTTCCTTATGTTGCTCTTCTATTGCAAGAACGAGTATTTAAGTACCTGTTTAGTATAAAATCGATGTGATTTTAAATAGAAAGAAAGATAACGAAGAGAGATTCTGTCAGCGCCGACGCTTCTTCTACCGAACATCATCACAATACAGGTATTAGTCAAGAAAAAATTGATCTATGCTAGTGTTGATGCAGTAAATATTAGTAATTATTCAAAGAAAATCGAGTTTTATTTTCAATATACTTAACATATCAGAAAAATGTTTCGCAAGTGATAATACCTAAAGTCTATCTATTTACATCTCATACGTAGTGTGATTAAATGATACAAAACATTTTCTAGACATCCATGTTATCTTTTCTTTCTTTTCGATGTACCTCAGAGAACGAAGAGATGCATCATATAATTAAAAAAAAGTACTTTTTTTTAAAAAAAATACTTCCGCTCATTATGAACTGATGAGGTTTTTGAGATATATAAATATATTGTATTCTTGTCGATGTTCATCAGTGAAAAGCAATACATAATTATGAAAACTGGGGAGAGATATTCATGTGCTATACATAGAATTGTCTTGTAATGAATCTAAACTATTCATATTTATATTTATATCGTGTTCAGTAAAAGTAAAATGATATATCATAGAATCCCATTAGCTAGTATTTTTGGGTTCATTCTTCGATAACAAAATGTTAGAAAAGTTCACGTTCTGTAATAGACATTTTATTGACAGTTGTCATCATGTGAGTATGAACATACGGAGATATAAAGAAATCATAGATAGAATATCTAGTGTAACTGTCATAAACAAATTATACTTATTAATTAAGAAGAAACTGTATTATTATTGAAGAATGTTAATCAAAATGTAGTTAGGTATTGTTGAATACTAGTTGCTGTGAGTTCCTAATCAAAATAGAGAAATCTTCGCTTACTCCTAATACACTAAAGCCAGGGACGGATTAGAAGACCGCGGGTTTACTAGTCTATCTTAGCGCTCACAAATTTCATCAGGAGTCTTCTATTATGTCTTTAGAAAAAAATAATATTTTCTTGTTACTCTAAACTATAGGATTTAATAGGTATTCTGACGTTATTTTTATTGTTTGTAAAGGATTCTTGAACTTTTTGACAGTATTATGGTCAAGTAAAGTCGATACTATAATAAAAGAACATTTCATAAAACTAGTATTTTGATTATTAAATATAAAAAATAAAATACAATATGATTAATTGATATGTAAATATGGGAGTATTTGTCACAGGATACAATAAATCGTTTATAAAATAATCACACCATACAACAAGTCTGTCAGAAAATAATATCATTTCATACGATCCAAATGAAAAAAACTACTTTTTTCAGATGTGCTTCAAGCTGAGTGGCGTATGCCGAGTTGCCTTCGTAGAACTTGTACTATTTGATATCATTTAGTGGAATAATTGAACCATCTGCCCAAGTAAAGCCTAATGAACGAAATGTAGCTTGAAAATCAATTAGTTTGAAAGTACGAGCCCATGTTGAAGAAGTTAATCTTGTACATAATTTACGTTTTTGATGTGATGTTAATTTCAATTTCGATCGAGCACCATTGAGTTCCAGAAATTCTTCAGCACACTCATAGTAATGGTTTTTGAAAGCAGAAAATACATATAGAAGCAGATGCCTTTGTCTCGTATTCGCTTTTTCAAATCTACATTTATGGGGCTTGTGCAACTATCAATAATAAAAAGTTTACGGTTGCTGTCATTGAGTTCATTAAAGCACTAGCTCATGTATTTTTCCATAGTAGGTGTGTCGGTAAAAGCTTCAGGAGTGAAAAACACTTTCATATTTGAACAGTAACTTTTTCAATATCTTTAAATAAAAGAGGAGGTTCAGTTCGATGGTTATTTCCAGGAAACACGCATAAAATGAGAGTTGCAAAACGTTGATCGTTTAGATAACCTCTGATTTTGTTTTTAGTGTGAATGTCATTAATACAACGTTTTGATTGATCACTTTATAAGTTTAGTGGTGTTTTGTCCATGGTGCAAATATCAGATTCAACAAAACAGATCATGGCACTACGTTGCTTACATAATAGACCAGATCATCTTCGTACAGACTTTTGTAACGATAATCGATGCCGTGTTAGAAATCTTGTATACCATTTTTTTGATGGTTCTTAGTTTTTAGTTTCAGCAGAAAATTTCTGTCCCTGCCTTATCATAGCTTTAAATTTTGCTTTCTCTTTACGAACATTCACATCTTCTTGATCTAAGCATCGCTTTGATCGATACCACTTGATCAGATGTTCATCCAAATCATAGTAGACTAACTTCATACTAGTGCCACTGATTCTTTTACGTTTTTTTTTGTTACCATCTTTATCCTTCACCAACTTGAATAGTCAGCTTATTTTCATTTTTCTTGTGCATTTATACTTTAATTTGAGTATATATAATGAAGTACCTTTATTAAATTCGTGAGTAGTTTTCAGCTTTTCTTTAAAATTCCATTGTCGACATCTATGTTGAGTAATAATAGCTACTGTTTTCGCTGTTGAAGAAATTCATGATTGGTTAAGATAAACATTTCCTTTGTTATTATCAAAGTTGTTGAGGAGCTAAACCACCTCAAGAGATACTTTGTAAGATAAAATGAAGAGAAAGTGACTGTGTATCGTAAATATTAAATATTGAAATTAGTAACATAACTGAATAGGAACAATTAATCAAGAATAGGTATGTAATAAATCCGAATTACAGTTCGAATTTTGATAGGATGGGTGTGGTTGTGGATGTGAGTACGGGTGTTCGTTATATATTTTATTCATAGTCACACTCATACCCACCCTCACGATCAGTGAAAAAAGAAAAAAAAACAGAACCGAAAACATTATTTCATTCCGCGAAAAAGTATTGGTGGGGTATTCATATTCATAAAGAACTTGAAACACTTTCGACATGGCATTGTTATCGGCTTTATCTATCAGGTAATGTTGGAGAAAAGGTAGGAAGAAAAGAAATGTTTTGTTTCTGCAACATACAACATAAAAAGCCTCTGAAACAAAACATTTTTGTTGAGATTTTTTTCAAGGTAATAATAAAGTGATTATTAGTTATAATGGCTACTAGTGAAACCTTCAATGAGAGACGGCAAAATCTTCTTCCAAACGAAGTTTCTAATAACAAAGAAAATATTCAATTAATTTGGCTTGATGGAAATCTGAATGATTCTAATGATTATCTTGTCACTCAATCTATGTTAATTGAACTCAATCCACCTGTTCAGTTTTATTCTAATTTTGATCGATGTCTCGATTTAATCAAATCAATCAAAGATGAACAAATCTTTCTTATTGTTTCAGGTGCTTTTGCTCAACATATACTTTTACAAAGTCATCGTTATCGATCTTTGGTTGCTATATTTATTTTTTGTTCTGACGATCAACATGATAAACCATTGATGCAAGAATATAATAAAATTATTGGAATATTTACTGATCAACATGATTTATTAGAATCAATTAAAGAAAAAATGAATCTAGTTGAAAAACAAACATTAACATTTAGTTTTTTTGATCAAAAACAAAAGTCATCAAAAGATTTACCACAAGGATCAGCATCATTTCTATTACATCAAATGTTAATTTATGTTCTTAAACAAATATCACAAGATGAACAATCAAAAAAAGAAATGCTCGATATGTGCCGTGATTATTATAAAAATAATAAACAAGAATTAAAGAAGATTGAAGAATTTCAAAATACTTATACTCGTGACAAAGCAATTGAATGGTATACTGATGAATGTTTTCTTTATAAACTATTAAATAAAGCATTTCGAACTGAAGATATTGAATTACTCTTTACTTTCCGATTCTTTATTACTGATTTATGTTCAGTTATTGAAAAAGAAAATCAACTTTTGAAAAATAATGGAACATTAACTTTGTATCGTGGAACACAGATTCCAAAAGAAGAATTTGAAAAAATAAAAGAAAATATTGGTAAAATTATTTCAACAAATGGATTTTTATTAACATCACGAAATATCAATGTATCGCTTCAATTTATTCATAACAATAAGAAATTAAATGATTTTACATCAGTTTTATTTGAAATTAAAATAAATCCATTATTGAAAACAGTGATATTTGCTGATGTTGGAAATAAAAGTCGAAAAGAAGATGAAGAAGAAGTTCTATTCAATATCAATTCACTCTTTAAGATTGTTTCTGTTTGTTTTGATTCAAAACTTACTGTATGGAAAGTTGAATTGAATGCAACTGATGAAGGTACGGAAAAAGTTGAAGAATACCTTTCATTACCGAAACAACAGATGGAAGAATACACACCACTTATTCATTTGGGTAGACTTCTCTTGAATGAATTAGGTCAAGTGGATCGTGCAGGAAAATATTTTAATATGTTACTGAAAGCACTTCCACAAGATCATTCTGATATTGCAGCTGTTTATAATAATATTGGTATAGTACATAAAAGGAGAGATGAATTGAATTTGGCATTGAAAAACTTAGAGATAGCTTATAAAATACGTCGAAAACAACTACCTTCAAATCATCCTCATATTGCTGGTTCACTCAACAATATTGGTCTTGTTTATAAAGAAAAAGGTGATTTCAATAGAGCACTCGATTATTTTCAACAGGCTTTGAGAATTTTCGAAAACTTATATCCTGATAATTATCTACAAAAAGGAAAGGCAATCGAAATCGTTGGGAGAGTATACAGGGAAAAAGAAGAGTTTGATACGGCTCTTACTTATTTGTCTCGTGCTCTCGAGATGTACAAACATGTTCTCCCTGATCAACACTCTGAGATAGCACGATGTCTGGGTACAATAGGATATACTCATGAGAAGAAAGATAATTTAGATATTGCTCTGGATTATTATCAACAACAATTAAATATGGAAGAACAATGTTTACCTTTCGAGCATTCAGATCTTTTAAATCATCTCGGCTGGATCACCGATACTTATAAAACGATGAATGAGATTGACAAAGCTTTAGACTTGTGTCAACAAAAACGTCTTATTCAAAAAACGAGATTAGGTGAATATCATCCTCGTATTGCTCAAACATTAATGATCATGGCTGGTTTAATTGAGAGCGACAATTCAAACGAAGCATTACAATACTATGAACAAGCTCTGTCTGTATTGGAGAATTGCACACCATCTGATTATCAAGTCACTTCTGAATGTTTGACACCAATGTCTTGTTTATATTTCAATTGTGATAGAAGAGAAGATGCATTACGATGTGAACTTAAAGCACTGGAACTTAATCGCCAAATATTGTCTTCTGATCACATTAACATCGCAAACAGATTAAGAAATATTGGTCTAGATTATGAAGAAATGAACAACTTATCCGAAGCACTTCGTTATTTCAATGAAAGTCTTTCGATCTATCAAGCTAATTATGGACTAGAACATGAAATGGTGAAGAGAGGTGAAGCAGACATTGCTATATTGAAAGAGAAACAAGTGTCGTTATCATATCATAAAGAAGAAAAAAATTCAAGCAATAAAGCATCATCTACTGTCGTTAGCAGTAGAGCATGTATAATTCTTTGATTAATATTAAGCAAAATAAAATAATAATTAAGAAAATAGATTCTTTTTGAAAGAAAAGTAGTACTAATAATAATAATAATAATAGTAGAAATACATATATGGATTTCTCTTGACATCCACAAATCAGCGAAGAGATGGCAAATATAGAAATATATGTAAAGAATGATTTTATATTTTTAATTTTCAACTAAAACATACAACAGAATTATCTCTACATAACTCATACATTTTAGATGAGAAACATTATAAAGGGTGTTACAGAAGTTTTGAAACAAGGGTGACAATTTTACGTTTTCTCGCTTATGAAAAGCGAATCTTTTTGAAAATTTTACAGATTCTTGATCATAACTACTACTATGTAATCACAAAGTTTCAGGAATATAGCTGCTTCTATTGATGAAAAACTAGAAAAGTACTATTGAGTAAAATTTCCATAAATTCATTTTTGTTGTATAAACGGGTTGATTTTCTGACTGAACAAGAAGATTTGTGTAATTAAAAGAGACACTTTTCAGCCTCGTATATTTAATTAAAACACTCTAGAAATAACGATTTTTTACTCAACAGTATTTTTCTAGTTTTTCATCAATAAAAGCAGCTATATTCCTGAAACTTTATGATTATATAGTAGTAGTTATGATGAACAATCTGTGAAAGTTTCACCCTCGTTTCAGAACTCCCGTAACATCCTTTATGTATGTATTTTAACTACGTTTCTTATCAAGTTATCAAGTAAAGTGTATTCAATGAGTTTTACTACTAGTTGCTACGGTCTACCATAGGGTGGTAGATAGAGGAACTAGAAAACCATGTCTTAAAACTTAAATTTACTATTTTTCTTTCAAAAATTATTATTGAGTTTCACAAAAAAATCAGAGTCAATAACGTTGTTGTTAACAGTGTTGTCACGGAGATGCGTTACTCTGAACACTTTAAAGAGCTGACAAGAGAGAAAGGAAAAAAAATTGAAGATAGACGGAACAATAGCGTGTTCGTTACGTTTGCCGTCAACGCTACGATCCCATTAAAGTCAATATCATTTTTTTTCTTTTCTTTTGTTTTCTTCAATTTTCTACTTTTATTTAAGTAAAACATTTTTTGCCGATGGCAGCATTTTTTATATCTATTATTTCATCAATTATTCTGAATATATGTTCAGCAAAAACTCATTCCTCCACCAACAGTGGAACATCCACTACACTAATAGCCATTCTGGTACCCACTGCTACTATTGGCGTCACTATTATTGTCATAGTAATTGTATGTTGTTGTTATAAAAAAGCACCATGGTGTTGCAAACAAAGAATGGGTGTCATGCCTCTAGCTACACAGCAGTTTCTAGCGCAACAACAAAATCAATATGCACCTCCAGGTTTCTTTCAAACAACACCCTATGTTCAACCACCACCTTACAATCAAATGTCACCATACGAAAAACCAACTCCATACTCCCAACCGATACAGACATAATAAAATGTATTTTCATTTAAGCATGTTTGTGACTGCTATCTGATACTCTTTTCTGAAACAGAACTTGCACATAAGTTCAATTCTGATACGATAACACTTATGTGTATAAATAAACTTCTCATGAAAACTGTTGTATTTCTTTTAAAAAAATATATTCTATATTGGTTTTTTGCCTTTCTTTAATTTTACTAATACTTTTATTTTGTATGATTAAAGGAATGATGTTTTGTTGCCAAGCAAGTCGTTGGTATTTTTTTAGCGAGTGAATATTCACTAATTAAGTATATTTGCACATTGATTAGTAGTTTGAATTTGATATAAGAAACTTGGATGTTATTCTTTAAGCTATTCCAAAACCACCCACTAGATATCATGAAAAATGACGATTATATTTTAAGTAATAGGTAAAAAATCGATTAGAAAATCTTCATTCTTGATCACGAATCTCATTAGACAAATACAATGACTACATCTGAAATAGTTAATTGCGCATAATCCAATATTCGAGTCTTCACACTGATATCTAGTATACTTGACTGATTTTTTATTAGACAGTGTAGATTTCAGTATCAAAATTGAAATTTGAATCGACTAAAATTGCTTTTTTTTGCCATATACGATGAATTTCAAAGATGATATAAACAAATTTTGTTCTTGTATTTGTATAAGTTCGATTTATTTGTGTAATACGTGAGAAGATGCATATATTAAAACAGAGATAACTAATCAAGTTACAGTCATTTGATCTTTTATTATTCAAATGATTGTTTTTATTAATAAATCTGTCAGAGATAAAAATTCCCTTTTGATATATTACGCATATATCATATGATGACAAAAACTTTCGATATTATCAATAAAAATGGATCATATGACTATAAAACAATGACTTGTATTCGGGTATGGATGTGGTGGATGGGTATGGGTGTGAATGAACGCAAGATAAAAAAATAAAGACATGCATCCACTCTCAAAGTTATCAATAAATAATCTTTGTTATTTATCTAACAACGATACATTTTATTATATAATAGGAGAATGCAATTTCAATCTCAGTTAGATTCCAAACTCGCCTGTAAAAGATATATCTTGTAGTTACTGCCATATCTTTGGATTTTTATTCTTTGTCGAGCTAAATAATATGAATATTTATCTCGTGTGCAAGCTACTTTTGCGCAACATTCATAGAACCGATCGTCTGTCTTATATAATCATGCCTCTTTTTTTTATTTCAAACGTAGAAGGAAGAAATATTCAAGTACAGAAGAACGAAAAAAGGGACCTACTCTATCTCACTATGATTCACCTTTAGCCAAAGTGTACATTAAGAAAGACGCGTTGGTGGGTAAAAAAAAATTGCGTTCGTAGATAAAAATAATTTGTGTTGGTTGGTAAAAAAAAGTGCTAGTGGATAAAAACAAATGCGTTGGTTGGTAAAAAATTTGCGTTGGTGGGCAAATAAAATTGCGTTAGTAGGTAAAAAAATGCAATATAAACTCGTCGTTGAAAAATTCGAAAATCTCAAGAAGAAAAGGAAATATTAAAATATTTCTTTAAGAATACATTAAGAAACTGTAAACATGAATGTTCACACAAATTGTTAATCACATGATATTTCACGAAATTTTCTTTCTCTTTCGTCATAAATAAACTACGTAGTTAATACTTCCTTTTTTTTCTTCGTAAAGCAAATGAGTAATAATGACTTATAAAAATAACATCAATCACATATTTTTGTTTTTATTCGTCTGTAATTATATATAAAATACATCGTTAAGAAATACTCAATTTTACTCCAATGCCTCATTCAATTGATTTCTTGGAGCAATTACCTATTGAACTTCTTCATACTACTTTTGATTATCTCTGGGCTAATGAAATTATTTATTCATTTTACAATATAAACATTTATATAAATAATATTATACATACATATTCTTCGTATCGATTTAACTTACAATCAATTAGGAAATCTCATTTTGACAATATATGTGAAATAATTAAAGTTAATCGAGTTATTTCATTACGATTGTCCGATGATGATTCTACACCAAATCAATCGAAATTTTTTTTTGCTTATTTTCATCTTGACCAATTCATTCGTCTTCGATCACTTTCTTTATTTGATATTAATATAGATTCGTTAAAATTTATTATTTCTAATTTGAACCAACTAAATCAATTACGTTCACTTTCAATACATTGTAATAGTATAAATAAAAAATTTATACTACAAGGCATACATAATTACTTAAATGATACACAATCCAAGTTTGGTTTAATAACAATTCCTTCAAACGTTTTAATTCAATTAATACGATTAAACCTTGGTTGTGGTTTAAATTTTGAAGAACATCTTCAATCGTTGAATCTTCGTTATTTGACACTGGAAAAATGTGATATTCAAACTCTACAAATGATTTTATCTACAATGACGCAATTGATCTTTCTAAATATTTGTCTTACAGGCGATACATCAAGTATTTCTCATGTTCCTACATCATCCTCATTGCGTTGGCTTACATTAAAAATAAATGGTAAGAATATTCTCAAAATAATATGTATCTTGTACTTACGAGGGAATCTTCGGGTGTGAATGATATATTAATCTATCACCCACACCAGTCTGAGGGGATTCTTTTGTCAATGAAACAAATATTTCTTTATTGTTTTTAAAAAAAAGTCATTGTTATATGAATTTTTTAGATTCGTCCATAGCAATGAATGATTTAGAATGTTTTTTATCGAATTTCTCTTATTTAACACATTTATAATTAGAGTTAATAGGTAAAAGGGACCTTGTTAATGGAAATCGATGGAAAATATTAAGTAAAGATTTAATCAAGTTTAATTTTAAATTCCATGTTAAAATAATTAATATTAATTCTATTCTCGATTCATTTCGTAATTCATATTGGCTTTTAAATAAACGCTGGTATGTCGCCTACGATAATCAATGTCTTTTTACAGTTCCTTACTTTGCTCCAATATTGACACATAGTCCTTACAATCCAACAATTTATTCAACAATCCCTGACAATACAATTTTTTATGATCAGATTAAACATCTTGTTATATCAAAACCTGAAAATATAATGTTAAATCATTTACATAATGTTGACGAATTAACAATTGAATGTTCGATTTTTCCTGAACTTCTGTCTATAGTTAATCTAAATCGACTTAAACATTTAAAATTGGCATCACTTGATAATATCGAATTATTTTTAATGCATTTAAATTCGATACCTAATCTAAGTAAATTATCAGTAAATGGAAATCTAACAGTAGATTTCATTGAATATACAAAAAGCTGTCGAACAAAACAAATTCGAACACTAGAAATTGTTACTTCAACGGAAGATTTAAGTTATATTATTGAAGGATTAATATATCTTTTTCCACAAATTGAACATTTACGTATATCAACTATACATTCAAGAAAACATATAATTAGATTAATTGACGGATTCGAATATTTATTAAATGCATCATTTGTTCTTAAATGTTCATCTACCGATATGAATAAGAGATGGTTTCTAAAACCAGGATTATCTATTCGTGAAGTTCGACGATTAAACAATGGAACTTTCACATGTCAATTTGATCGCCTGTCGACAGATAGTTCATTGTATGAAATTAATCTTTGGATTGGAGAACAGGTTAATTCTTTGATATATTTATTTAAATTGATCTAAATTTTTAATTAAGGCACGGAAATCTTGATGGATTATTCATTTTCCACCACGACGAGGATACTATTGGTATCAATTACGACATAAATTTTTTCATCATCCATGTATTATTACTATTCAAAATGTTTATCGTAAATTAAGTTCAAATGAACCCTTGCGAAATATTTTAAAATTTTTAAACTATTTCATATACTTCCTTTTTTTTATTATTTTTTTCCTTAAGGCTTATCAGCAATTATTTTCTACTATTCTATTAATTGATTTTTTACGATGGTTCTTCGAGAGCTTTATATTTACGTTTATTTATTTTGTGGCATTCCAATTTTCGACTTTTGTATTATTTTTGTAGACTATAGCCTTTTCGAAATAGATATAGAATGTTTAAACGATTTTTCAAAGTATACCATCGTTATGTTTTTAACAATCGACGCTTTTGATAAACATAATTAATCAAATTCAAATTTTATCAAACATTCTTATTTTTCATCATAACCGTTTGAAATTATAATAAATATTTATTTTATTAATTAACGAATGAATGTAAATTGATCCTCTAATGACTCACAGCCACGGGTGTGGGTGGGTGAATGTGAATGTGGGTATAAATAAAATAGAACACTCACACCCACACTCAACCACACCCATGATCAATCGCCAGATTTTTAGCGATTTTCAGAAAAACGATTAGGTATTCTTCTATGAAACCAAAATGGTATGAAGACATATAAACAAAACTGTTATTATATACTAATTATGCGGATTTTTTTCTTTGGTTATGATTTGCCGGAAATGAGAGAGGCTGTTAGAAAAACAAGTTCGTGGCTAACGGTCATCATAGTTTCCTTTGTCAAGTAACAGTGAATTCACTTTGAACAATTTCTCGACTGTTGTCAAAAACAAATCTTTGGAAATGTGAGATACACTGAAACGAAATTATATTCATTACTCGGGCATTCGATGAGTTCTTGATGAATAAACAACGCTAGAGAGAAGGAAGGTTGAAGCTTCCTAATACTTAGAATCTCTATCAATACGTGTATAATTTTTAGATAGTCGAGGGTGGATCCCTCACTTTGCGTTTAAACTACCTGGAGTTATCACTTCACGGAAAAAGTACATCATTCTTGAATAATGAAAATGGAAGAACATCATTCCTTAAGTACAAAAGGAGTAGATATAGAGGTTCTAACTATGTGCACTGTGATTGTCCTGTCTTTGAGGTAGTACTCTATTTTCGTGCTGGCGATTCGACATAGCGAGCGGAGTTCTGTGGTGCAAGAACTCGGACTGGCTGATATGAGGTTCCATTTCGAGCGGTCGTTTGCTTAGGGTTTGACGGCCCAGTGGCTATTTGCTTTGAATCTGACGACCCATCGGCGATCTCACTGGTTTGTTTGAATTGCATGCGTTGGGCGAGAAAAGCTGGAAAGGCGATAGCAGTGACGGCGAAGCCGGCCGCTAGAATTGCATATGTCATTCCAGTGACGCTAATAGGAAACGCACCAAGGAATATCATGGCTAAGATCAACCCAGTGATGGCCAGCACAAGTACGATGACCCATACAATAACTAGTTCTGGCCGTTCAAATCTCTGAATAAAGCCGCAGCAAGCATTGCAATTTAGTCTGCTCCACCAGTGGTCGCCCGGCTCTTTGGGTCTCTTTTCATAAGCGAAAATACGCTTTTTACAGACTCTGTCGAGCCCATAGCAGCAGCAGTCATCAAATTCGAATTCATCGGGATTGATGCAAAAGCAGTCGTTGAATTTCTCAGAATTGACGCAACAGCAGTAGATTTTAGAACTCTCATGCTCCCCCGCCTCTTTCGGAAGATTGGCTGGCTGGGTGTGAACAGAAAATGAAACAGGTTGATTCGAACTGGGTCCATTCGAGCTTTTACTTATGTCGTCGGGACTTCTTTTATCTGTACCTTCATCTTTCAATTTCAGAATGTACATGTTGAAGCGAAGAAAGAGGGTCACAAACAGCCCGAAGGCCGCCATGAGTCCTCCACAGAGACCGATCTGATCAAGAACGTCATGAGTTGTGATATCTTTTTTGAACCAACGGTAACAGGTGACGCGACCAACAGACGCGTTCACGACTAGATCTGAAGAGCTACAGTTGAAGTACGCACGAGTTGAAGAGTGATCGTAGCAGTCATATGGTCCTTCGTCTGGACAGACTCCGTTTTCATCGACAGATACAACTATAAGAATGAGTCCATCGAAGAAGACGACCAAGACGGCGGTGAAGACGGCTGCAGCCATGATGAGGAGGGCTGCCTTCAGACAGAAAGACTTGCAGTAAGGAGCTCGTTTAATACAGGGTTTTCCATTGTAGCAGACTAGGTTTCGGAAGGCGCAAGTGTTGCTCTTCGGTATGTCGAAAGGTTCTTCTTCGTAGAACATGAGTTCTAGGACATAATTTTGGGGACTGTTTGTGCTGGGACTAGATGGAGGTCGACAGCAGATGCAGCGACCGAAGGGACAGTACCCGCAGCACCAACGGCTCGACGTGTTTTCTTCAGCAGAATTCTCGTAATGACAACACCAACCCTCTTGCTCCGATGTCGATGGATCGGTTTGCTGTAATGGTTTCCCTATGAACTTGTTTCTATAATCAATACCGTAGAGAAGTTTGACGAAAAGGTAGAAGGTATCTGTGCGACAGATGAGTAAAGCCATCATGAATACAATACTGAAGAAAGCGAGACCGAAACTAATGCCAAAATTGGCAGCAAGATATTGGTAGTAGTTCCACGGCATTTCTTACTCGTAGGCACAGTGTATGTAGCTTGCACACACTGGAAGAGTGTACTGTAGTTGTCAAAAAAAATGTACGGCGTTCTTTGAAAAAGTTTCTTCCAGAATTCGGGGAACAGTAAGCCACAGTGGTACACCTTAATCAACAATATATAATTTTAAAGCAGTGTGTTTCGCAACAGAAAAAAAACAGATGCAATGAGTGTTTTGATGCTGCACTTTCATTCCCTGATAGGGTGTCGAAATAGTGAGATGAAATGCAAACATCGTTGTTGTTTTACCGTAGGCGCGTCGGTTTGTTTTGTTAAGATTTGGTATGAAAAAAACGAGAAAAAATCAGAGAAAAAGCAACAGAGTAACTATGCTTTCAGTAACTGAAGCTTACTATCATGATTTTCAGTGGTATATAGACCCGCGTAATCTTCTTCCCTTGTGACAGTGTGAATCCCACGAAATAAATGTACAGGATGTCCCGAAAATGGTAAATTCCGCTTTTACAGAAATTGTTTTCATCGATGATGAATTTCGTTGGAAGAAATTCGTCGAAAATGTTTTTTTTCGGAGATGAATTTCGCCGAAGATGAGGGTGTGGGTAAGTATGGGTGCTATTGTGGGTGTAGGTGGTTGAGGGTGTCGAGAGTGAGTGTGGATGTGGGTGTG